TTGCTAATGAATTTTTCAAACAGTTTTCGTGTGTTTTGGCCAATGTCGCATCGACGATAAAGTCTCAATACGATAAGTCTGGCGACATAGACGGCCAATGTATGAGTGAGTCTTCCTCTTTCCATCACCTAGAGGCATTTTGCATTTATTTATTATTCATAATTAGAAATCGTCACTCCACAAATGATTATTAGCCAAAGTAATTTTGCGGAAATTCCAATCCAGATTAATTTGACCCGGACAAATTGGAATCGGATGCAACTAGTTCACGTTTCTAGAACCATCCAAGTCCACTTTAGCCTGCAAAGTCGATCAAATTAAAAAACTAATTTATTTTTTTGTCCACTTTGCCATGGGTCCGGGCCCATATTAAGGACGAGCTTTTCTATTTCGTCGGGTCAACATTAAACCTCGATCCAGTTTTTTTGTTGTGTGTGGTTCCACTTAAATTGTAAATTCGCTCATCGATCTGTCAGGCCACGAATATTGGTTAAGTTTTGGGTGCCTCCGGTGGTTCCTTTAATTTGAGACCAGGTAGAAAAGTATATCATGGGTACCAGTATTGTTCGGTGCCCCCGAATAGACCGGAATGTCCTGTAAGGAAAGTAGAATATACCGTGAGGTTCGAACTATTCAAATGCGAAGTAACAGCCAGCTTTTTTCAGCTTTTGTGCAAGGTCAACGAAGCGCCCAGCAAAAAATTAATTACTTCTGTATGCATAATTTTTTGCTCAAATTTATATTAACCTTTATATCCGATTATGAAAACCTATGAGGTTCGATGACAAAATCATCAAAATCTACTGATGAGCTGAAAAAGGCCAAGACCAGGGGCGCATGTACGCCTGGGTAACTCAGTGAATTTTCAGGACTTGGCGCAACTAGCTTGGTGCGCCAACTCAACGCCTTGGCGCAATAACTCAGTTCGGTGGTGCTGGAAAAACGGCGCAGTTAAAAAATGATGTGACTTTTTAGGTGTTAAAATTCCAATCTCGGATCTCCTAAAGCCTGAATTCGCTTTAGTAAATGAGTTATACCAGATTAACCAATGAGTTATAACTCAGAGAACGGCAACAATTCAAGTCCAAGTAGGCCGTAAAATGAAATCAAATTAATTCAATAAGAATAGTTTAATAATGTTGAAGGATAATAATTATATATCAACAAATAATCTGAGGGAGTTTGAATTCCATTTTCGTATGATTTTTTAAGAGTGTTGCAAAAGTCTTGGTCTTGGCAAAAAAAGAAACTTTGCGCTCATCACGACTCGTTCACTTAATCCTATAAACTGTTGTAAATAAAAAAACAGCTAGAAGCCAAAATCCACTAAAGAACAATGAAATGAAAAGCAAGAACCGGAAGCAGAATTGAGTCTTCATCAAATTGAAGTTGGATGGTAAATAGAGGCAAAGTATAATAAGAGCACTTCCGTTATCAAATGCACCTGATGCTTTCAACAAAATGATTCAGCAACGACGATAGCCTGGGTCACGACGAACCTTAAAGATCGAATCTCGACTTGAGCTGAGATCAGAGATACGAAATACAGTCACAAAACCGGGCTGATAGCGCTCCGGTGCACGATTCGGCGTTAAATGTTAGGTTAGATTTCAAATAACAATTGGAGTGGTAACAAGAGATATTTCATCGGTATTCGTATTGGAGAACGCTCGGTATTAAAGATACCGTTGGCGCATTTCGTGGGATTTATTTATTTGGATCCGTTTGAGATGCTGAACTATGACCTGCCTCGAAGTGACGTCGATTAACTTATATAATGGGCAAAGAAATGATTTGCATGTTGCAGACATTGTTGTTTCGCGCCATCTGACAAAGGCTTTTGATTGCGTCGATGTACTTGTAGCATTCCCCATTTCTATTACCCAACACCAGATGGGAGTTGAACTAATCAAAGCCGATCTGCCGACGTGATGTTCACAAGGTGGCCTTTCAAAGTTTCGCAATTGAGTTTTACATTTATATATAAATACAGTAAAGTCCGCTTATAATGAACCCGGTTATAGTGAACTTACGGTTAAAACGAACTTTTCTCCTTTAATTGAAACGTCATCCATAAAAGCCAACGTATTTTTTTACTGGTTATAACGATCCCGTTTATAACGAACTTCCGGATATAACGATCGCTTTTTGGGTAAGTTGTATATTCACTTTCCGTTTATAACGAACTTCCACGCTCAACAACAGCTCAACAAACTCAGATGAAGATGTGCACAATTTTGTCGAAGAACAAGTTGAAACCAAATTGAGTGATTTCGATTTCTTCGAATATGTGAGCATTGATAATGGCATTCTCACAAGAGAAATGTTGACCGATGAGCAAATTATAGACTCCGTAACCTCATCTACAGCTTTAAGCGATAATGAGGAAGATGACGATTTAGGTGAAATTGATTCTACTGTAGACACTACTACTACTAATGCTGTTCCAACCAGTTCTGAATTTTCTGAATTTCTACAATCACGCCAAGTTCCTAATCATATCTGGGAGTAATTTTGTGATCTTGAAAACTACATAAATAACATCTATTTTTGCAGCAGAAGTGGACAAACCAAAAGTTGCAGACTTTATGAAGTATATTTCAAATTGTGTTCTGTTTATCTTTTTGTGTTCTTTTTAGTTATACCTACTAACTTCTACTACTCTATGTAAAAATAACGAAATAAAATACACCACGTGTTTTTGTATTTATTATTATTTGTTTATTATTCGCTTATAGCGAACTCCGGATATAACGAACCAGTTTTAGTTCGTTTTTCAAATTCGTTATATCCGGACTCAACTGTATATCTTATTTCCTTGGCTGATAATCCACTCATGATCATCTCAACCCAATATTACGGAAAATATCAAACAACACCTTAGTTATCGTTAAGTGCCTACCTGCGTCGTAAAACGCGACATTTCCATATGCGGACAAATTGGGATTTCTTACTCAAACACTTGTCTTGTTTGTGAAGAAAACGAAAATATTGAGACATAAATTTGTTTGCCACCTCGAAGGCATTGTGCGTGATTGGCTGCGAATTTCTAGGGCAACAAGGAAAATGCTGTTTTGCGCGATTTATCGATTCGATTCGCACTTAGCCGAACGGGGCAATAAAATTTAACACAAATTTAGCACCAGTTTTGTTCCAAATCAAGACAGCATTAAATAAAACTAAAAAAACATCCAATCGTTTTTAAATTAGAATGAAAATTAGAGTTTCAAAATAGTGAAAGAAAGAAAATAAATAGATTGATACAGATTCAGAATTCGAAGTTTTTTACCCCTATCAAGAATAAGCAGTTATCCACTTCATATATTTTGAGATCCTAAGAGAAACGGTTAACTTTACGATTTATCTGACTAATGTCGCTCATAAAAATTTTCAATTCCATTCAATAAGCTAGTTGAAGTCAAGAACCATTGGATTCATTCACAGAATTTTATAACTCAGCAGGATAGACAAAAAAGTTAAGATTATTTTCCCTAGATGATAAATTGCTTGCCGGTATTACACTTCGCACTTTTGGCCGATTTGTTGGCCAATTATTGAGGATCACCAGACATCGTGAATGGAAGCGTGGAACCGGGTTGCGGTCGAAAAATCGTACGATTTATTGCATACTTAGAGTACAGTAGTGAAAATGTTCTGGGGACTTTTGGAGTTATTTTTCCTTTGCTAAATGTGCAGCAACGATTCTCGAAGTAAAGTGGCAAGGAATTAGGGGTTAAGTTATTTTTTCTTTTGATTGCGCTTCAGATGTTGAAAAGCTGTGTTGTATGCAATGAATTAAGCAAATATGTAAAAAATATTAGTCGCTTCGTTGGAGGCATAAGCAAAAATGAAGATGATTTTCAACAATTAGCCCAATTCATAGCCCAAAAAAATCGGGAAAATGTGCGTAGTGTAATCTGGCATCATTCGCCGAAAACTGCAAAATTTAATTTTAGTACAGACCTATTTAGGAATTTCATGAAAATAATAAACTTTTTTTTCGGTTTTACTCCAAGTCTCCTAAAAATGTAGCCAATGAAATTCAAGTTTATAGGAAGTTTTTTCTTAAACTACTTAAGTTGTTACAATTTGTAGCTGTTTCAAAATCCTGCTACAAGTCGACCACCCCGTATAAAACATGGCAAACTTAATGCCTTCTTGAACTTCTTGCAAGATATCGACGATATTTTGTAGAATGGCCAATTTTAAGTCAAAAGCATTTTTTTAACTTTTCCTGAATTCTCAACAGTTCATGAAATAATAGTGATAAAAACGCGCAAGCAAACGTTCTGTAAAACCTTCACAACTTTTCGATTAACAAGTGCGTTGAATTATGCATTAAGTACACAAGGCGGCGGTCACATTGAGAGGCTTTAATAATAATTACAGTGCTATTGCGCTTTTATTAAAATTATTATTATGGGACAGATTGTAAGCAAGTGGCAGGACTGCATACATTAAATGACCGAATTCAAAGGATTGCAATGATCATTCTTGAAAAAGCCGCATGCAAATTAAAACTATACTGTACAAAAAACTGGGCTTCCAGTCTATCAACGCTAGGAAATAAAACTCTGAAATAAAATTTTAAAACCTTGGAATCACTTAATGCTTCAAATGTTTGTCTGCTTTGCTTGATATTTCAAAGGTCTGCAAAAATAGGATTGAAAGTCCATCTCAATATTTTATAGGATGTTGTGTATTCACAAAAATAAGCGGTGATGAATGCTTTCGAACACAAAATAAACTGAGCTCGAACCGATCTTTTTTTGCCGGCATTCAAAACCTGGGACTTTGTTCTGTATATTGCGGAGCATAGCATGTTTCTCATCGAACTGGAGAAGACATTGTCCATTGTAATCCACTAATGCTACTTTAATAGGCCACGTACCAAAAATGCACTTTTCTTGTAAAACATTAAAAGCGGAGCCCGTCCAGGACTTATCTGTATTTAAGACACAAACTAAATAGTAAAGGGAAGGAAATTTAGAAAAAGTTACCTTTTCCAAACACGTAGCTCTACATTGAGCCACCCTTAAAGGACTGGCAATATCCTGCTCGCCTCCAACGAAAATTGCTTTGGAAATGGACAAAGTCGAAAGCACCAAACACATCCAAAGATGCATCGTCGTATCGGGCACAGTTCGCAACATCAGTTTATCAACCAAGTGAAACAATTTAAAAATGAGTCTTTGCAAAAATCAAACACTAAAAAGCAAAAAACACAAATAGCATGATCGCACTTGTTGATGTAAACACTAAAAACGCATAAAGCTGCACTAGGTAAGTTTGAGAAAAGGAAGACGTGGGTAAGTGAGCGAGCGGGACAAGATGGCAACACAAATGAACAGGCACTAGGAAAAATTGATTCAACTCGATTATTTTCAGTTATTGGCGTCAAATGAAAAAAAGAGCGTAAAAAACCGGCGCTTTTTGGAGGGAACGATAAACATTCGTGTGCTCTTCAACACGTTCCGTCATGAACTAAATCGGCCGCACGCCGCACGTTCGTTCCTGAAGCTTTTCTCTTGTTGATCCCTGTCCATCGGCCTATTCGGCTACGATCGTGGGGGTTCGTTTCGACCGTTTTTTTATTTTCCTTCAGAGGGTTGTAAAAGAGTATGTGTGTGCATTGGACACGTTAAGGGGTGTTTCCATGCCGCGTGGTGGTTCTTTTGTGGTAGCAAAAATTAGCATTCTTGAAAAGAATTGGGAGGTACGGACCGGAAGAGACTTGACATGGGTTATTATCAGATAAGTTTTTTTTTACCAAATTAAACACATTTTTGCAAATTCAATTTGCAGATGTAGGGTTGGGAAGTACAGCACTTTCTTATTGTTCCTGAACAGGAATTTGAACATCTTTAATGTATATACTTTCCTGACTGTGTTTCAATTCCAAATCAAAAATAATTCCTGGGTTTCAGTCATTTATTGTCTCCATTTATCAATTAAAATACTTTTCGGTGTATTTTTCCACCTCATCAGTGTTCCTAAAATAACAGATAGTTAAAAAAAAAATTCATTAATTCAAAAAACAACCACAGTTTGTCAGCAGCCTCATCATATCACACATTAAAATACATCACAATTGCAATACTTTAAAACATTCTAAAATTAATTAGGCCTAACAGGTGATTAGTCAGGACAATCAAATCTGGGAAGATACTAGCATTCTTCGTTCAGATACTTAAATATTTTTACTTACATGTGTAGCGTTGTTGCTGCTTTAAGCCTTGGCATATATTTGGAGTATTAATTTTGTCCATTTTGGACACAAAGCGAAATACTGTTCATATTGATTTCTTTTACTTTCAGCTATTTTTCTTTGTATTTTGAGGATATTATTTTTGGTTTGCAAAATTCTTCAATATACCCGGGTGTTAGTTAATATTCTATGTTTATTTCATTGAATTAATGTATGACATACTGAGCTAAGATTGTCGGTATCCTATCTGAAATTCATACCATTGTTATGTTTTTTAATCTGTATCACTTCATGGACTCTTCTCTTATTATAATTACTCTCGTTAATCAGTATTTTTGTGTTATCAAAATCAAAATTATGCAACTTCTGTTGTGCATGCTGTGCTAATGCTATACCATTTTCGTTATTTTTTCTTAGACTATACTTATGTTCGTATATTCTTTCCTTTAGATATTGTCCTGTTTGACCTATGTATGTGTTATCACAATTCAAACAGTCTATTTTGTAAATCACATTAGGCGTGTGTAACTTGTCAATCCTAGGTTTAAATTTTGTGAAACATTCATTTGCTAAGGTGTTTTTAGTTTTTTCTGTTATGTTGATATTATGTGGTTTGAATATATTTTTTATTTTTGTGTTAATGGTGGAAAAATACACCGAAACGTATTTTAATTGATAAATAGAGACAATAAATGACTGAAACCCAGGAATTAATTTTGATTTGGAACATCTTTAATAAAACACTTGCGTTTTGTCTGCAATGGTGAAGTCAAAATCTAAGACTGGATATGAATCGTTTGGGGAAGGAATGTTAGGAAAACCTACCCTGAACTACATTATAGGGGGTTGTAAATTATCGCCTTTCGCGCGAAGAACGCTATTGTTTCAGCTCGATAGTGCGTTTGGGACCAATTTCACCTTTCAGGTAGATTCAAATTAGAAGTTTTAATTTTAGGAACATATTCAGATCATAACGTAACCCTGTCGATGTTTGTCCTATGGGGTTTGCCAAGAATTATGTTTCAGAGTAATATTTGAAACTGCAGCTTAACTAAGAAGTTTGGTTGTTGCCGTACATCTGAAAATTATCTACTTTTAGAAAGCTCTTGATTTATTTTCGTTTATTCTTGTTCCTGGTCCTAATTGAGTACAAAAATTTAGAGGGTGTTTCAGGCTTAGGAGATGTTATGATTTTTGTTTTGTGATTTAAGATTGGTCATTTATTTTAATTTTAGATTTGTTTAGAATGTGTTCCAATAAGATGTTTGCTAGGCCCTCTGTAAATGGACAAAAGTATATACAGATAAGTTAATAAGACTCTTTATTCATTTACATCATATCTTGTGGGAACGAAATGTTAGTCACAACTACTTTTGACTCTTGATTATTTCCCCAATTGATATTTTTAGTATATAAATGTGGCTTTAGAAAGTAGCCCTAAAACCGTTCATCAGTTATTTTATTCGATTTCATATTGTTCAACGTCACTCATTACAATTTTTTAATTTACAAACCATCTAAGACAGTCTATTCATATTTGGTGTATCATTTGCTCTAATTACGAGCCATTAAAAGTAAACATGGGGTAGGTTTCGAATTTATTTTATCATAGCCAGTGTTTAATAGCACGCAAGTTTTATGCGCTCTTTATCGTAATTTTATCAATAGAGCTGTCTAAGAACAGGCACAATTTGCCATTAAACGGGGGCAGATATTGAAAAAGCGCAAGAGGCAACTTTTATTAAGAGTTAAATTGTACACGTAATAAACTGTTAAAATATTTTTTGTAGGGCCTTCTCGCCTTTTTTTTATAGCTTTAATCATTAGTTATATTGTTGGTGAAATAAAGTGGACACACTTTTACAACACAGTACAAAAGTAGATTTCCGAACACGAGAACGAATCAGTATCAGCAGCGATTTGACGACTACTAACTAAAAGGGTTGCTCTCGCGATAAACAAAAAATTATGCTGCCTAAGCAATATGGCTTTGTGGTACACTGTGGTCCATAATATATATGGCTGAACTTATATTGATAATATTAAAAGCATTTTGATTATAGTCTTATTCCAACATGTATCTTCGCCACTGACTGACTACCGAACTTACATTACTTACAGTAAAACTTTGTTTTTATGTTAAAGATCCGTTATTAGACTTGCATAGTTTGGAAATTAAAACATAAACATCATAAAATCTTTTAAACTTTAATACCAGGTGGATCGGAAGCGAAGCACTTTTAACCCCAAGTTCATATTAACGTTTCCTCATAAAATCAGCTCAGGAATAGCCCTCAAAATTTTTGTTCCTATTAGGAAACACTCTGTAAAAGTGGATTGAATTTGGACCGTTTCTATTATTTTTTAATTTAAAGAAAAATTCTGTTAAGATATGAACTAATCTTTTATTTTATTGGTTAATCTGAACCGACGTTTCGAATTGGAGATTCTTGATCGATTTCACTTTTATCTTCCTGCAAAACGATATTATATTCATTATTAACATCCCACTCTTTGTATTTTAGTTTATTGTACTCTTAATTATTATGTTGGCTTGATCCCACCCTTAATTTCATACTGGATTTAGATTACTTCATTAAAGACATCGATTGCGTTATCTGTACACTTGATTGCCCGCCTGTAGTTCCTTCTTGAAAGATTTCCTCAGACACGCATTAACTGAATCTGTAATAGCAGTTTAGTTGAAAAGAAGTTAGTAGCCATTAAGTTTAAGTTTTGACCGTTGTACTCGTTGAGCTTCTTTGTGAGAGTTCTCAAGTAATTAATTGCACTAGACATTATTTCCTCGTCGTCTTAATTTAGTTGAATACGCACCTGCAAGGATTATTGCATTTTTTTAGAAACCGATTATTATTATATTCGAGTCAGAAGCTAAATGCGAAACGGATGCTTACTTGTAGTTTTCATGATGTTTCACATTTGCATTAAAAAAATTAAAGCTAGCTCCTGGCATGCGTTGAAAAGCCCCATGACTAAGTAATTTATTGATTTGTTGATTTATAGCCAGATTAGATCACAATCAAAGCAAAATTCATGCTGTTTCCATATCAATTATTTTTTCCAATATTTGGAATTAAATTTGGTCAAGTTATAAGGAACTTCCCTGCAAAGTAATTAGGTCGTCATTTGTCAATTTTCATATTTTGAAAAATGAAAATCCAGTCGAATTCCCAAAGTTTAGCAGAAGTTTGAGTTTGGTTCCTTTCCGCTTTTGAAATTTAGAGACATTCATTGCAAGTAAGGCTTTTTATTTGCAAATTAAACGATTTAACTTTTGGTTACTATTCGACTCCAGCGCTTGGTTTACTGCAAAAAGGTACTAAATTAAAATGTTATATAGAAAAAATCGAAAATGAAGAGCAATCGGGAATGGTCAACATCTGGAATAAGATAAAATATTCAAATCACTCAACTGTAACTTAACGACATTGACAAAACAGAAGACACTATAAATGGAGACAGAATTGGCAAAAGGACGGAAATATATTAGGAATTTGCTCAAAAATTAACAAATTAAAAATGAAAGAAATGACAAAGTGCAACACAAAAATTCGATTACAGAATGGAAAGAGGGCAATGAAGAGTTGACAGCAACTCTAATATTGAATTCTAAACACTGAATCTAATAGACCATCAGAATTCAATTGAATATCAACAAAAAACCTGAAATACTCCATCTAATGAAGAGGCAAATGAACTTCAAAACGGTGGTACTGAGTCGTTGTGAAGTGAAGAACCTTTTTGAGAATTTTAAAAAATTGTCGTCACCTCGACATCTAACATTTTCCCAAATCACTAGCTACTAGCAACGCATAACTTTTTCATGGTATTGCAAGTCTATGTCTTGATCTGCAGTGATTTCGAGATCTTTTAGCTGCAAAACGATGCTACTAGCAAGTCATTCTGAGGTCAGGAACTCTCTTAAGACTTTTTTTTGAATGTCAACTCCTCGGCGTCTAACATTTGCGCTATGCAAATAGAAATGAAAAGTACCGATTAAAATGTTATGCTTATGTTAGTTCACCCTACCCTATTTTGTTCACATCAAGAATGTGTGTGGAAACCGTGAAAAGCAGAAGCGGAAAAAAATCACGTCCCGGTTATATTCAAAATGAAGTTATCAAGTTTATAGCCAAAGAAGAAAGAAAAGTATTGAAGCGACTGACCTTTATAGTCAAAACAGTCCACTGTCCCAGAGCTGTATCAGCATGATTGGCCAAAGAAACTGTGAAAATTTGAAAACGTCCTCAAAATATTTTTTGCAAGTTTT